CCTCAAAAAAAAAAAAAAAAAAAGGAAACACAGGATCCTGGTCCCAGCCCAGATCTACAGATTCAAAATCTGCATTTGAACAAGACCCCCAGGTAACTGAGTTTGAGAAACACTGAAGCACTAAGTGCCTCAGACCAAAAACAGGGCACGGCGATGGGGGTGAAGCTGGGAGCTGCCACCCTTTGTTCAGCAGGAAAAAAAGGCACTGGGGAGAAGGGGTCAGGCTCTTCTTGAGGCTGACTGCTTCCTGTGGCAGGCAGGACCCTGGAGCCAGGTGAGGAGTGCTTAGAGAAAGTGTGCTGGGACTCATCCGTGTAGTCCCTGTGGATGTGACAGCACTCCTGCTTGGGGAGGAGTGGAGACATTCTACACTGATGATATATCCCCAATTGAAACAATCGAAAAGACCCAGAACTTCTTCCTTAAGCCTAATTCAAATGCATGTGCTAAGTTTCTAAGGTCTCTTACAATTAGATCAGGTCAGAGTGCAGGACCACAGCCCAACTAGTTCAACACTTACCCTATTATAGGGACTAGGAATCGGGGGCCTGGAGGACTTGCACAAGTCTCACAGCCAGATGGGCCAGAGCCCAGATCATCCCGCAGTGTCCATCCTGTTCTCACCCGGCCTTACCCAACCCAACGACCGCCCACAGTTGGCTCTGACAACAAAGTGGAAAATGCAGTCTACCAGGGAGGGCCAAGTGCTGGTGTGGAAGCTTGATGGGGAACTGCCTGGAGGGGGCGGCCGGGAGGGCTGCAACTCTGCCTTTCTCAGGCCTGTACCACTCAGACAATCCCAACCCGGCTGACCACAAAACTCAGTCCCAGAGCTTGGCTGTCTACAGATGCTGAGACCCAGGGCCCAGCAGGAGCCCCAGTGTGCCTAAGACACGTGGAGTCATTGCTCCTCTGTCTAGAAGGCCCTCCCCTGCTGTGCCCACATGATGATTCCCTGACAACGGATACAGCAGCAGGTTCTTCAAAACCCAGAGAGGGCAGTATGTCCTCCAGGAAGCCTTCAGAAATAGGTCTTTCTTCCCGAGATTATAAACTCTTAGGCCCACACAGGCCTGGAACCATCAGGAACCGTCTTGCTACCCCATGGAGATATCCTGTTTGAAGGTAAAGTCAAAAGAGGGAGACAGAGTCACCCTCTCGGGTCCTGCAGCCCTCATCTTGTACTAACTGCAAATTACAAAACAATTCTGGTATCTGACTGGAAGCTGCCTGAGGGCCTGGCTGAGCAAGAGGAAGAGCAGGTCTCTGCTCTGGCTGTTCCTCAGGACCCCAGGGCTCCCTCCCCTGAGCGGACAGCAACAGGTATGGTGCCCAAGAGGCCATGATGCTTCAAGGCTTTCAAAGCGCTTGGACTCCTGTGAGTTTGGCGTCAACATCCTCATTTTAAAGATGACATCTGCCAAGGCCATTCAGCAGAGGCTGAAAGAACTGGACTCATTTCAGGCCCCATGACCAGGCCTGCGTCTGTCCCTATACTCTCGGTCTCCAAGCTCCTTCTTTCTTCCCCCCACAGCAAAGCTGGGGGAGGCTGGAAGCGGATGGGAAAATGAGTGGCATCTTCCTTCAGAGAGGTGGGCTAGAAGCAGGTATCCTGTGCAGTAAGACTTAGGGATGTAGTCCCAGCTCTGCCACCAACTCCCATGTCAACTTGCCAAGTCACTTCATGTCTCTGGGCTTTGGTTTCCCCCTCTGCAAAATGGGGGTATGGAGGATGAACTCGGGTCTCTGGAGTCCACACTCCCAAGAGCTCCTGGTTGGGTATCTGGGACCTGGAGCTCACCACCTTGCAGCAGCCCAGGTACAGCTGCCCAGGCAGATAGGAAGTGAGGATTCAGCCAGGTACCCCCAGTCCACTGCCAGCCCTTGCCACCTGGCTGTCAGCACTTCCTCTGCCCAGCTGTGGCTGGGAAGGGTCTAGCAGAAGCTGGTGGGATGCCAATGCTGCAATCAGATGCCACCACCTTCACACCCAGCCTGACTGTTCCCACTCCTGGGTGGGGCCCCAGGGAGCCTGAGCATCTCGCCTAGGTCCAGCTCCCACCTGATCCCTCAGCACAGTGCTCTCTGCACACTCCCCCGGCGGCCGGTGCCTATTTACTTAGCCATCCTCCTCTGCCAGTGACTCCTGGGTGCCAGGACCCAGCCCTGCACAGGCCCCGATGAGAACAGGAGCAAGTAGAGATTTACCGCAAGGTTGATAAATCCACAAGCCCCAAGAGGCAGTCACAGGCCTGGGTGCCCAAGTTAGTTTGAGCCGTCTGGCAGGGGGTACAGCCAGTCCCAAAACTGAGGACCCCGGAGATGGGGGTGAGCCTCTCACCCTCCCAAAGAACGAGTTTTCCTATCTATGCAGGGAATACAACCCCTTGCCTACAGATGTCTTTGTTTCATGTGGAGAGACGAGCCAGGCTGTAGAAGAAAAGATTCCCAAGAGCCAATTCAAGGAGCCGTGCCCCAGTGGCACTTATTTTACACACCTCATTTGCTCCTACATGGCAGCAGCCTGCTTA